TTAGTCGAGTTGAAAATTTTATGGCTTGGTTTGAGTTAAGTTCAAGGTCAAGTCGAGTTCGAGTTGTATTCGAGTTTTATCTACTCTAAAAATGATACATAGTATATTTTTATGTAAAGAGTTTGATTTGTTATACATTTGCACACATATGTGAAATCATTAATAAATTTTAAACGTAAAAACATGGTTTTAAAATTCTCTATTTAATTATTTCTTATACTTCGTATATTAAGACTCTCTTTTCATCTATGTTTCATTTAAACCTAAGATGACTATATTGAATTAGTCCTACTTAGATATGTTTGAGTGTTGTCTGATAATGCCTATAATCACATAACACGTTTATAACATTATTTAAAACATCGAGTAATATGTGAATCTGTAATATATTTTTAGTAGAAGGTACGCATAATTTTTTATGCATGGATCCATACTATGAATATAGGAGTATAATGTAATGCCTTATTTATGAATTGGATCTAAAAAAATCAACGCTAGCTCAAAATCGAGTAGCTTGTGAGCTTTTTTATTCGAGTTTGATTTCAGTCGATTTAAGATCGAATAAGAACCAAGTCGATCTCGAGTAGCTTGTGTGTCGACTTACTTGATTATATAGCACCCTAAGTTAAGTCTTTTAAACTCTGAAAAATGGAAAACAAAGTTTACAAATAAGGGTGAATAATATTTATCTTTTACCTTTCAAAAATATATATTTATATTTTACTGCTAATTAAATATTGTTAGTTATGTTAAGTAATAATGACATGTTAAGTTAGGTAAATGGATAAACATTTCATGAAAATGACTAGATAGTATAAATTATACTCTCTGTCTCGATTTAAAAGGTCTCGTTCAACTTTCACACAATTTAAGAAAATGATACTGTTTGACAATATTTGGACACTATTTGGACACTGTTTTGCACTGTTTGATACTGTTTTGCATTGTTTTGTTTACTGAATAAAGAAATGGAACATTTTTAAGGGACGGACCGAAAAAGAAAGTGAGATGTTTAAGTTGGGACAGAGGTAATAAACCTTTAGGGCTATTATAAAGTTAACTAGTGTAACACCCGGGGCATGCCCCAGTAGTGTTAATTTGACATGGGTCAGGTGAAATAAACATGATAAACTATTCATAAGATATGATCAAAATTTTGATGATTGCTTTTATGAACTAACCACCATCATGAAATACGGATGAGGAATCACCATCTTTTGGAGTACTAATTTGTGGTTATAATTTTGGTTTATGCATGTGCTTATTGTTGTAAAAGTTATTAATTATAGGACTAACAACCACCGTGGAATACTCCACTAATTTTAGGGCTAATTATATGATAAGGAGTGATAAGAAGAAGTGTTGAATTAGAATTCGGAATATGTAGACTTTATAATTTACATTATTTTGGATATTCACATAAATATCCATTAATATAAATGATTTTGTATTAGTAAAAAAATTTAAAAAATTAGATTATGAAAATTTACAATGAGACAAGTTTAACAATATTTTTTTCATAAAATAATATTATTACATTAATAAATAAAACGTAATCAAACTAGAACATGTGAATAGTGTAAAAGTCAAAGTGTTGCATTTATTTAAGAACGGAGGTAGTATTATTGATATTGTACGATTAGAGTATCGCCCACGTGATTTAAAGTTTCATTATTTTAAAAAATTGAAATAATTCAAAATTGAGCGTACATTATAGTGTGAACTATTTATGACTACTGTCACTAACACCCGTCCACATGAATTAAAGTTTCCAGAATATTTCATTGCTTGGAGCCTACATAATGTCAAATGTTAGTTATTTAACGCTTTCCACCTATTCCCCCCTTCCATTATAGTTGATCCATCTCCTTTTTGTTTGGAACTAATTAAATGTTTTCATAATAAAGATAATAGAATTTTTGTTGACCAATAACAGAGTGACATATATGTTAGCAGTTTGAAATCCCGTTTTACTAAATAAAAAAATAAATTTAAATATTTAATGAAATTGGATTACTTATATGTGTCACGACTATTGTGTAAATGTGCGTTTCCCATAATGCAAATTTAAACTCAAAATTTACTATAGATATTATATATCATTGATTTATAGCTCAATTATTACAATAGTTTATATACATGTGTAATTTGGTGTCATATGAAAGATCATAAAATTTTACGATTTTTTATATACGTTTTATTAAATTTGGAGTGATGCACTGAATGAGTTGATTGGATTAAAATGAATAGAAGTGATGTACCGAGTGAATAGCAGTGATAGACCGAGTGAATAACAGTGATGCACTAAGTGAATTTAGATTAATTAAATGATTTAGTAGTGGTGATAATGAAATTTTTATTAACCAATATAAGATTTACACATCATTGATTCACACTTCTGTTTTATTATATAAAGATAATAATATTTTTATTTTATATATGCAATATTGGTTTAATATGAAAGATTACAAAACTTATGAATTTTGATACATTTCTTATAAAAATTGGAGTACAAAAAAAGAAGAAAAAATCTCCTCCGCCCCCTTTCTCTAAATAAGTTGACGTGATTAAAGTAAATCAATATAATGATGCACCGAGTAAATAGCAGTGAAGCACCAAATGAAGTTGAATTAATTAAATGTTACAATAGTAGTGATAACAAAACTTATTGACTAATAAGAAACAAATACATTACTGATTTATAACTACAGTTTATTATATAAAATAATATATTTTTTATTTTTATATATGCAATATTGATAGTATATGAAAGATCCATGAGTTTTGATATAATTTTCGTAAAGATTGGAGTACAAATAAAAAGTTATAGCACTTTAAAAGATATTTTATTCATCACTTTCTCCAAATGAGTTGACGTGATTAATATGAATAGCATTTATGCACCAAGTGAATAAGTGATCTTGGATTAATAAAATGTTTTAGTAGTACTGATTATAAATCATTTAGTAGCCAATAACAGACTAACACATCATTGATTTTTAACCCAAATGTATTGTATAAAATAATGTTTTTATTTTTATATATGCAATATTGGTGTCATATGAAAGATAATAGAATGTTATAGATTTTGATGTATTTTCTGTAAAAATTGGAGTACAAATAAATGATTTTTAATGCTTTTTTTTTCTCCTTCATTTCTCCAAATGAGGAGTGATACATGTACTGAATAACAATGATGAACCAAGTCAGCTTATATGAATTAAATGTTTTAGTAGTGGATAATAGAATTTTTATAAATCAGTAGAACTTTTAACTCAGATTTGCTATATTAAATACTACCTTCATCCATTCAAAAGTTCCCGTCCACTATTATTCGGTCAACATAAAGTCTTCTTAATCTATTATTCTATATATCCAATTTTTATCAAATTGAGTTTTTCTTTTGCGACTTTATAAAACTTTTGATGTAGTCTTTGGATATTTAAATTTTATTTACTAAAAAAAATCTAATTACGGATAGGATCAATTAACTTTATGATCAATTAAATATCGTAAAACGTGTGGAACCTTTCTACAGGATGTAGAGAGATATTTTTATTTTTATATATGATATTGATGTCATATGAAAGATAATAAAAAGTTATGAATTTTGATAAAGTTTTTGTAATAATTGGATTTTAAATATAATAGTTATATCATTTTAAAAAGAGAGATTATTTCTCCTTTTTTGCTCCAAATCGGTTGTGATGTAGGGAGTTTTTTTTAAATAGCCGTGTGATGTAGGATTTAATTAATTGTTTTAATTGTTGTGATAATGGAATTTGCTTCATCCAATAGGAAGTTGACACATCATTAGTTTTTAACTAAACTTTACTATATAAAACTATACGGTTGAGGTTTTTTAGATAGGAACATTGAAAAGATTTGTGGTTGGTTTAGAGGGCATTTTTGCACTTCAAAACTCCTTTAATGAAGATTTATAAAGTAAGTAGGATGAGAGTACTTAAAAATAGCCATCAGATTCATTTTTCTGTCTGGCTTTCTGCCTTGTTCTGACAGCCAGGCGGGGTGTTTGGTTTTAGGGAAAAATAATAAAAATAACCCAAACTTTGAAGGGATGTGAGATAAATATTTAAACTTGTATATGTAATTTAAATACCCCAAACTTTATATAAAAAGTTATTTTCGCACCATTATCATGTATTATTTCTTTCAAAAGTGTAAATTTTTTGGGTTAGTTGCATAATTTAAAATAGCAAATTAAAAGTGTTGCAATTATATAGATTTGGGATTACATTATTTATTTCGCAATGGAAATTTAGAATGTTAATTGTGTCTTCATGAATTCTAAAATATATTAAGTTATGCAATTGACACCATAAACTTACATTTCAAAAAGAAACAATACTTGACTATGATGCTAAAATAACTTTTAAATAAAGTTTAAGGTATTTAAATTACATATGCAAGTTTGTAATGTTCATCTCACATCCCTTCAAAATTTGAGATATTTTATTTATTTTTATTTTAATAGTCATTAGATCCATTTTTTGTGCTATCTCGAGTTCTCCTCCTATCTTTGTTGTCGTTGGATCTGCGCCGGGATCCACATCCTATAAATGTTCCCACGTTTTTGTCATATTATGGGTAAATAATTCACTAACATTTTATCAATTTTTCTTTTTTTATTGTCTCATTAATTTGTCACTTTTCTTTTTAAGTAAAAAATTTGTGTTTCTATATAATTTTCTCTTCTTTCCAAAAATGTTAATCATACAATTTTTAGTTTATTAATCCCGTACTGGTCAAATTTGGCCAAACTTTATTAATCACCAAACAATTCAAACCACTTTTCTAAAACTCATAATCTGTACTATGTAAAAATTCACTTTTATTTATTTCAAATATTACTTTCCATTTTAGAAAACTTGTCTCATTTACTATTCTTGAGCCAATTTACTTCTCTTTTAAATTCTTATTCTACCTGCCAAAATTTTGGTAGTTTCACATTTACTTTTTGTTATTCAGCTTAACTTTAATGCATTTCCAAAATATCTAAATATAATTACAAACAACAATTTATGAATTGAAATGGAAGAATTGACTTCATGCAGTAAAGTAACACCTTTCAAAAACTACTAGTATCACACAAAAACAGATATGAGGTCTCTGTCCGGCCCTCCTTCATGCCAGCCGTCGGATGGAGCATCTAGCGGTCCGACATAAATGGCCTCTTTTATTAACAATCTAGGAACTCCCAGAGGGTGGAATCTCCAACCAGAATGCAAATTGAAAGACCACGAAAACATCATTGTACTACTAAGTAACAGCTAAGTAACAACCCACGTGCCTGGTTTTACCTTCCCTCCCTCCCCTTCTTCATCCACCACTATCTCTCCATTCCTCCAAATACCATAATGGGAAGCGCAGGTACTGCGGCGGTGGAGGAGATATCGGAGCCTTTCTTGGAAGATGATAAGGCGGAAGCGGAGGTGGAACTGATTCCAGATTGGAAGGAGCAAATTACAGTGAGGGGGTTGGTGGTAAGCGCTGTGCTGGGGACGCTCTTCTGTATAATCACCCACAAGCTGAATCTCACAGTTGGGATCATCCCCTCCCTCAATGTTTCTGCTGGCTTGCTCGGCTTCTTCTTCGTCAGGACTTGGACCGCCATCCTCTCCAAACTGGGCTGTTCTGTTCGACCCTTCACCAGGCAAGAGAACACCGTCATTCAGACATGTGTTGTTGCTTGCTATGGCCTGGCTTTTAGCGGTATTTTGCTCTTCCGCCTCTACATCTTTTTCCTTTCATCACATCTGTTCTTTATATTAGTTGGGTCGTAGTTAACATAGAACCTGGTTATTCGATTCCCATCAAGCGGCCAGTGGTATTATCAAAGTAGATTCAAAATAGATGCTTTAAGAATCAAGAACATCTCCCGTTATTTGAAAGTCAACTCTAAAGTTTGTCAACGTAGTGCTCACTTTATTTGAGCTACATGTTTAACATCATAGTACCGGCAAACGCATCAAGAAGGGTGGCGGCTAGGAGTAATGGAGGGGTCCTACTTTAGGGCGTTTAAGCATTGAGAAAATTCTCTAAAACTAAAACAAACATTAACTTCATAAATAGGACTCTCTTTGTTTTATTCCCAAAATAGGGCTCATTCACTCCTATTTTAATCAACTTATTCTTTTAGAAGGACTACATAAGCCCTATTTGGGGGAATAAAACATAATTAGTCCTATTTTTGAACTTTGTGCATGTTTTTGTCTTATATTGAGCAATTTCTATTGAGCATTTAGCTTTGGGAGAGGCTTTTGATTTATAATTCATTACGGAATAGAATTGTTAGTGTTAAGTACAGGGTCTTGCTTACCCACTTCCTTTGGGCATTGGTTCAGAGCCTAGAAGAGAGTTTTTTAATAGAAAATCATAGGAGCATACAAATTTTCATCATGTCAATGCATTTGTTATGCATCCCAAAAAAGTTGCGCTTTTGATTCCTTAAGAATGTCCTAAAGGCGCACAATTGCATTTACCTTAATTATATATGTGAGACTATCATTAGCATTCGGCTAAGTACTATTAGTCTTCAAGTCAAGTATTATAAACAAGGGATTACATTTTGTATACTGTGGATGAGGGTCTGCATGAACGCTCTCAAGAGTTTGATGATGTTGACATTTTTTAATGATTGAAAGTTTCGTACTGTTTCTTTTTATTGTGAATTTGTGATGACTTTCACCCTTTACAAAATTCCAAAAAGGGATCTAAAATGAAATCAACAAAGCTGCCTCTTTAATAGTTAGTGTATTGAGGGATGATTGTTGGTCATGCTATGAGATGAGTTTGGGCAATTTATCTGTATCCCTTGTGTAGTTCTGTTGATCAATCTTTTTAAATCACTCTGTGCCATTGTTAGGGCTATGCTTGCGCTCTTTCTGATGCCCATGTTAATCACCTAGAAGACAATATTTAATACTCGTTCCTTTACTTTCTTATTATACACACAATCACACTTCATCCCAAGTCATCAATAATATTTATTTATCTCGTTTTCATTTCTTAACAAAATTGTCATATTTTTTCCCTTGATTGTATGCTTGTATTAACTTTTTTACCAGGTTTAGTATTTCGTTATAATTTTCAGGTGGATTTGGATCGTATTTACTGTCAATGGATGAGAAAACATACCAGCTGATTGGACAAGATTATCCTGGCAATAGGGCAGAGGATGTGAAAAATCCAGGGTTGTTATGGATGATGGGTTTCATATTTGTTGTCAGTTTTCTTGGCCTTTTCAGCCTTGTCCCACTTCGCAAGGTGTTCCATATACTATTGTTATTTAGCCTTACATTCAATACTTTAATTTATTATCTTCTTAAAATGACTGCACCTTGTCAGTATTAGGTGATTCATAATTACTCGTACACTGTTTTCATTTGCTTTAGTTCTCTACATATTTGCCATGCGCTGAAACCGTAGGAGCACTCAGTGTGAGTGCATGTCAGGTAGTTAGTGTGGTTAAGTGATCTATTTACTATCATCAGCTTGTTATGGCTGCTGATTCACTTTCCTCTGATTAAGTTGTAGTCAAATACGTGTTTTGAGCCTATACATGAGATTTTTTTTTTAATTTCCAGAACTCTGCAATTTCAGGTAATGGTTCTGGATGATAAACTAACATACCCCAGTGGTACTGCCACGGCAATGCTAATAAATAGCTTTCACACACGTACTGGTGCCGAACTTGCAAGGCAAGTTATCTTCCACGGTAGAGGCTTGAATAAAGTTTATGGTGCAGATAAAAAATGTTTCATATGGTTGCTATACCATTATGTTACATTAATATCCTTGTTTTACAGGAAACAAGTGAGCTGTCTAGGAAAATACTTGAGCATTAGTTTCTGCTGGAGCGGCTTCAAATGGTTTTTTAGTGGTATCGGTGATTCTTGTGGATTTGACAATTTTCCTTCCCTTGGGTTGCCATTGTTTAACAATACGTGAGCTGCAGCCTTTTCTTTCTTCATTTTTTTAATCGAAATCACTTTTAGTGTCAATATGTTATTCACGTGTTTAATTCTGCTATTTCTTATTGTTCATATCTCTCCCCCTCCCAAAGTGTCTATGTGAATGTGTGATTTTATATGTAATCAAGGTGTACTATTTTCCTTGTCCTTGTATGTTGTTTTTGAATTTGGTTATCTGCTTTTACTTTATGTTGGGGAGGTGATTACTTTGTTTCTTAATTTCATGGTAGGCCCTATATTCACAATTGAAATACCCCATCTCATAGATTTAAAAGATTTACCTTAATGAAGAACTATTGACTAGTAAAGTAGTGAACTTAAGTCTCAATCTTAATTACTTACCCAAAAGTTACATAGTAAATCTGTCTTGATCTTTGCTATACAGGGTAATACATCTGTAATAACTTATTAAAAGCCCTCACTTTTCTGTTTAAGGGACAAATCAGATCCCAAGCAAGTGAGGTGATATTTACTATAAAAAATAAACATAACCTAGTGTTCCATTTCACTTTGCAAATATCAAAGCTCAAAGACAAAAGAACAGCGACGCCACACGTTCACCCAAGTGTGACTATTATGACTCGTTTTTTGATGACACTATTATATAATTTTGAAGGACCTTTATGACTTTTTGCATCTCTGCCTATAGATTTGCACTATAATATACTACGTAATAAATAGTTTTAATTTTTTCGTAAATGTTGGTTTTTGTCAGAAAGCAACTATCTATTTTCCCTGCTTTCAAGCACAAGCCAACCGCAGATCTTTTCTTCTTCTTAATTAGTGATATACTAATATCTATTCTAAAAAATACTCTCATAATCCTATTACTCCTGACCTTCCATCATTTGCAATGGAGCCAAAGACTCACTATTTTTTGGCTTGAGAATATGATGAAATAAAGCAAAATGGCTTACTAAACTGTGTGCACATCTTTGTTATGAAGCAGCCATCAATTCATGCAATTTTTATGCGATTTTCACTATGGATCATCCGAAAAGTCTCCCTGTGCTTTAGTACAGGGGTAAGGCTGCGTACATCCGACCCCCTTTACCTCACCGAAGGTTTGGGAGCCTTTGCAGCACAGGGGTAATGATGATGATGAATGATGATGATGATGAATCCTATTACTCCCGAATCCAGAGCATATGAACTCCTCCTTCACGAGTTAAGATGTTTTTACTTGGACTGTTTTCAGTCCCAAACCGGACCAGATCAGACCAGACCAGACTTGGACAACTATAAAATACACAGAAACCAGACATTTACCAGGCCAGAAAATTTCAGTCCAAGTAAAATCATCCTTGATTGCCAATAATCATCTCAAGTCAATTGATATTCTTGTCCCTCCATGTAAAACAAAGCATCCTTTACATTCTCATTTTCTCGCGGCAATAGTCTTTCAAGATTGTGTGTTAGATATATTTCGATATATATATATATATATATATATATATATATATACATTCCTGGGTTGATTATCTAGTTTAAGTTTGCTGGTTACAATCACACGAATTTGCATACATATTTGCTTGTGTGTGCATCTGCACATGTGTAGTTATTCATTATATAGCCTATTAAACAGTGCCCCATGATACAGGTTCTATTTTGACTTCAGTCCTACGTACATTGGATGTGGTCTTATCTGCTCTCACATAGTCAACTGTTCAGTTCTTCTTGGAGCAATTATATCATGGGGTTTCCTTTGGCCATTTATTTCTCAGCGTGCTGGTGATTGGTATCCATCAGATCTTGGAAGCAGTGATTTTAAAGGTCTCTATGGCTATAAGGTAAGTTCTATTGGACATGGTTTTTGAGTAAAAGTTAGATCTCCTCCCCACTTATCTTTTGTATCAATTAAATCAAAATCGTTTTTTATGGAAGTGTTGGCCTAGGGAACTGATAAACATGATGTACTACAGTCAAGAAATTGTTGAATATGTATATCTTCAATACAGGCTCTTTGATCCACGATATATGATCTGACCATTTTCCCGCTTGTGTATTTGTTTCCAGGTTTTTATAGCTATTTCTCTTATTCTTGGTGATGGTGTTTATAACCTGATCAAGATCATTGTAATCACTGTAAGAGAAATGTGCAGAAATAGCAGCAACCAGAATAATCTTCCTATGACCGCAGAGCTCTCAGGTGAGGTTGATGGAAACTTTTCCCTACCTACCTGCAATAGTTGCTTTAGATCGTCTGAGTATAGCTCAAATTCCTCAAAATAGATAATAATTAGAGAACTGTAGAACATTCGTTTCAATGCATAATGTACACCCAAGACACATTCTTGCTTAGTATATCTGAAAATGGACCCAAAATGTGTATTCTAGAGGAGGCTTTATATCTCCTCATGTCATTTCCAATTATCTCGTTTGGTCCTAGCTGCAGTCACTCCTCACTCCTACATTATCATTCCTTGTGTCATATTTTGAAGACGAAGCCCATATGGCCATATGTTTGAGCCTATGGAAGAGAAATAGTAGGCTAAGGATTAACGAAGCATTTGCAAAAGAAGGTAGTGATGGCAGCTTACATCAGCCGTTAGAATCCAATAGTATATCAGACTGAGCCGTCTGTCATTGCCATTCCTCGTTATGTTTTTATTTGGTCATGTAGTGCTATTTATGTCCATCCTGGCAGGGATGTAGATAGAAATTATGTATTTTGCCATACATATTATCTATCTTCTCCATCTTATTTTGTGTTGGAGTTTGTCCCCCTTTCTCTTCTTCATCTCCATATTGTTCTATGAAGATCAATCGTTTATTTGAGAGAGTTTCAGTTTATTACACCTTGATATGATTTTTAAGATTTGGTCTAAGCTGGTCTAAATATTTATTGACTACTGATAAAAATCTTACTGGACGGATGCTGATTTTTCTGATCTTGTCAAATTTTCTTGTCTCAAATGCGCCTTCTGTATTATATTACTTGTCCTTATATGGTTTTCACAAAGAGTAAGAAGAAAATAGTAGAGATAGTAAATAGTGGAGAAAGAAGTGTAAAAAGTATGAAGGATAAGAATATAAGATTAAGTAGTAGGAAAAGTACTGAAGAGAAAATGAAAATGTAGAGCTAAAAGTTACCAAAACTGGAAAATGAATAATAAAATACTTTTTAGAAAAATAAGTAACAACCATTATCATACATAGGGACTAGTGTGATGATCTGAATCTTTCTCGTATGGGGGTTTGCTTTGCTCTCGATCTTCTTGGTTTGGTCTGAAGTCTGAGATAAATGTTTGTGGCCTAGTCTTGTATAGTCGGATTTGATTACGAGTAATAAAAAAAAATGAACATAACAAAACCTAAATCTTCTTGTAGTATCTGAGGTTTTCTAACGATTCCAATGGATGCATCCACAGATGGTAATACTTCCAAGTCACAACTTGAACAGAAGAAAAGAGACGTATTTTTGAAAGATGGGATACCGTTATGGGTTGCAGCTTCTGGATATGCAGTATTAGCTTCTATATCTACAGTCACAATGCCAAATATCTTCCCTCCACTTAAGTGGTATTTAGTTCTTTGTGCCTACATAATTGCCCCTGCCCTTGCCTTCTGCAATTCCTATGGTACAGGACTTACCGACTGGAGTTTGGCCTCAACGTATGGGAAGATTGGTCTATTCACAATCGCTGCATTGGTTGGTGGAAGTGGAGGTGGGGTTATAGCTGGGTTGGCTGCCTGCGGGGCCATGATGTCCATAGTGTCTACAGCTGCTGATTTGATGCAAGATTTCAAGACCGGTTACCTCACACTGTCATCGGCTAAGTCAATGTTTTTCAGTCAGTTAGTTGGCACGGCAATGGGATGCATTATCGCTCCACTCACATTTTTCATGTTTTGGAATGCTTTTGACATTGGGTCCCCTGACAGTCCATACAAAGCACCATATGCTGTCATATACAGAGAAATGGCCATTCTTGGAACTCAGGGCTTCTCTCAACTCCCTAAGCATTGTCTGGTTATATGTTGTGGATTCTTTGTAGCAGCTCTGGTCATAAACTTACTGAGAGATCTAACCCCACCAAAGGTTTCACAGTTCATCCCCATTCCAATGGCAATGGCGGTGCCATTCTATATAGGTGCTTATTTTGCAATTGACATGTTTGTTGGAACAGTGATCTTGTTCGTGTGGGAGAGGATAAATAGGAAGGATGCCGAAGATTATGCTGGGGCTGTTGCTTCTGGTTTAATTTGTGGTGATGGGATTTGGACTGTTCCATCAGCCCTTCTCTCCATATTCAAGATTGACCCGCCTATCTGCATGTATTTTGGACCTTCTGCGACTACCTGAAAAATGATACTCCGCAAAAAGTAGGAAACAATGGCTTTTGCTTGTTTCTTGAATACTGGAGTGGATCAGAATGCTGCTCTGAGCAAGGTCCCTTCAAACTCTTAGTTTAGCCTGTACATTTTGCATGTGTTGTAATATTTTTTAGTGCATGTTTGGATACTTTATGAAACTAATCGTTCCTTATTTGTCCTCCTCAATCCTCTAGTGTCAATGTGTATGAAATTTGAAACACTTATGATGTGCTATTTAAGCTTTGGTAACTGTTATTTGTATTGTGTATATCAAGTACAGACACATACACATGTTTGCTTCGAATGATGAATTGATATTATGATGAGAACTGAGAATTGATCATACAAAAGATGAGTATTCTATAAAAGATCATCAAGAGTTGAGGATTGAGATTTACATATAGATTTATAAGAAACAAGGGTGACAGACCTTTTTTGAGTATAAAATGTGGCAGCTTTGAAAATATGTCAATAGCAAAGGATTCACCTCTGTATTTGCAACTAGACAAGAGTGAGGCAAAGATGTAATACACCGTAGATGTCACTTTTTTTATTTATTTACCAAATACTAAGTTATTTGATCAGGTATACAAACAAATACACTAAGTCAAGCTTTTCATACATGAGAATGGGCCGATAAGACGCGCAGACCCCTCACAGTAATATTTATATTTACGAAGTATTTATTTATAGTACATGGTAAATGACCCAAATGGAACTAATACGTTATTTTTATTAACATTTTTCTTTTTACTAACATTTTCTGGGATCAAAACGTAGCCTGACAGAATTGCTCAGCAGACGACACAGATGGATTTCAGTGGAAATAGTAAATTCACATGATGTTATGATCCAACCTGGACTATCCATTGAGTGGCTCCATGGAATTTCACGTCAGCTGATTCGAATAAAATTTGCATCGTCTGCAAACCTATCACCAGCAGTTGGGGGCAAGTAGTTTTGGTGAGAATGAGGTTGACCAACCTGAGCATGAGTTTCCGCCTCATGTTGGAAGTCCTTGACTAGACTTTGCAATTCCAACTTTCTGATTTCAACCTCCTCTTCGCTAACTGGCTTTTTCAGCCCCAGGTATATCAACCCGACAATGATCAGCATAATGCCTATTAAAACAAGGATCCCTGTGAACAGACCAAATGCATATGGCGTATTACTAGCACCGGGGATTCCGTCTACATTGATTCCAAAAAGCCCTGTTATGATTGTTAGAACGACTCCACATCCACCAAACACCGCCAAATTATGGGTAACTCTAAGGCTTCTATCCTGGTATAAAATGGAACATAGTCAAAAGCACCACCCCTTAATCATTCTTTTATGATTCATGCACTAGAGAACAAATTTGGTTCTAGAATAAATTGTTGCATATTGTTTCACAATTTCCAAAATCTAATTATTACCCATCAATGAATGCTCCTTTCTTGCTCCACTTGGAGTTTAATCGATTCAGATTATCCATAAAGAACCAGATCGGTTGAAAGTTGAAACTATCAACCCGACTTATAAAATCATGAATACTGGTTTTTCCTTTTTTTTCTTTTTTAAATTGTCCAAAGGAATTTTCATTGAAAATTAATTTTAAAATGATTACACACTCCGTGATATATAAATTCATTATGAGTCTTTTTTAGTCTTAAACTGTCACTTGATGATTCGGGTCCTGAATTGATAATTTTAGCCTTCTATGTCCTGCAAAGATAGCTAACCTGTGAATGGATAAAACTTCAATAGTAGCAGATACATCGTTATGGAATTCCATATTTGTAAACAAACCTGCAGCCAGGCACGAATATTGCTCTGCATGACATCCTGGATAGTAAATAAGCGTGCACGTACTGCTTCTTGTTCTTCAATCATTGCCCTTGTACTCTTCAGTATTCCTTCCAGCATGCTTCTTGTTGCATTCCCCCTCAAATGTTGGAGAAGCTCAAAAACTATCTCCTCCCTTGCATGGAGAGACCACTTCACTCTAATAACCTGAAATTCATGCAGCAGTCGATATGAGTCTAGGAGATGACAAGTTTAATTCCCTGCCACACCAACTTAGCGCCTAAAATTCCTTTTCAGGTTCCTATTCTATGTACCACATTCACAGCAGCCCTTTCTCACCTCGGAATGTTCTTTATGACATCCTAGTGAAAGAAACAATTTAAATGCATAACTGATAATGTGCAGTTTGACTGCCATTTTTAGACCCATCCACAAAGGATTTTATTTTACTGATGTGGACGCCTTCATTGGCCTATTAGCACCATCATCCAGCAAACATATGAGCCAGGGAAGAATTGGTCAGAGACTGACATTCAAAGTGACTGATCAGGTGGCCCATGATATCGTGACTGCCTTGCAATTGAATTTAGCAGCCTTATCCATTTTATCACTGTTTTTTCCATCATTTGAAATGGAGCCAAAAACTCCCTATTTTTTGGCTTGCGAATATGATGGAATAAATCAAAATGGCTCACTAAATCGTTTGCGCTTCTTTGTTATGAAGCAAGAGTCAGTTCATGTAATTTTCGACGCGATTTTCACTATGGGTCATCCGGAAACAGTCTCTTTGTGTTGTAGCACAGGGGTAAGACCGTGTACATCCGCCCCCCCCCCCCTTACCCCACCAGAGGTGGGAGCATTTGCGGCACTGGGGTAATGATAATGATGATCCATTTTATCACTGTTATTTACTCATTCAGTTATAGTCCGATTCTATTTAATATTAGTACCTTTATGTTTTTTTTTGGGGGAAATGGGCAAATAAGCCCTTGAATTGACCGAAAAAGTGCAAATCACCCCTTTTATAGGAGGCTCTGTCCGGCCGTCACCATTTGGGGCGGTTCCCGGTGGATTTTGTTTAAGAATTTTTTTGAGCATCTTCTTCATTAAATCTAGTTTACTCGTATCAAATTTCAGCTAAAAATGCAATCGGGAAGGCAGTCAAATAAATGTTTGAAGATAACTGCGCAGTTAAACAGCGTAGTAGTTTTCAGAAAATCATTTGACTGCCTTCCGGGTTGAATTTTTAGCTGAAATTTGGTATGTGTAAACTAGACTTAATCAAGAAGATGCTCAAATAAATTCATCAAAAATATCCACCGGGAACCGCCCCAAATGGCGACGGCCGGACAGAGCCTCCTATAAAAGGGGTGATTTGCATTTTTTTTTGTTAGTTCGAGGGCTTATTTGCACTTTTTCCCTTTTTTATGATTAGGAGTCTTACAATAGCACTATTTAAGGGTCTTCAGTTTTGATCAATAAGCAATGGATCGGGTAGGCTTAGCTGCTTCCACATGCTGGTCAACGTCCAGCTTTGGGCCAACTATTTGGATTTGGTTGCAGAGGGGCACCTCGTGGGCATCGCTCTCAACCCAATGCTCGATGTGTTTTGGACTGCCTTCCAGCTCTATCCCAGAAGGAGGTGAGGTCAACCTCAACCCGATCAGTTAGTTGCATACCACCAAATCCACCACTATGGTAAAATTCTAACCCCGTGCTTAAAAAATAAACCCGAGCAGAACTGACCCATCCAAATGTCATATTGGTGACTCCATATAATAGATCGTAAGGGAATGTCCAGGTTGAGACAAGTTAGATGCACAAATTCATCATCAAGAGTTATCACACACGCTCATCAAAACTTGCCACAATGGACTCTTTAAGTTTCTCCCCAAAATCATGAAGAAACTAATGCCTCTATGGCTCTATGAATGGGTTGAAATGCAAACCTGTCTTGACAATCTCCTGATTTCTTGGTTAAGGATTATGCCAAACAGGTTTAGATCTTCCTGGTTCCTCCTACACATAAAAAAATCCTTAATAATACGGTGTCATAGTAAGGGGAATAATTTTTCCTAAGATACTGGAGAAATGCAACTTAAAATACCTCACAACAAATTTCAACTCTACTTCATCAGCAGCACCAAATATTGATTTACGAAATAACCTGCATGCAGAAGAACATAAAGTTGATATCATCTTCATATGATACTAATCAATGAGCAAATCTGAAGCATGCTGACTTCTGCTACTTGGAGCACTAGTGAGAACCACATTGCATAATTTCATCTATGAGTTTATGACATTACGAAAGCGTGGTTATTACCTGTCATCCCAACGTGCTAGCCGGCTGGCTAAATGTGCGATTATCTCATGTATGGTCCTTGGTGTATTATAACCACCAGCAGAAAGAAGTTCCTGGAATGAAGAAAGTATAAACAACAAGCTAAATAGTAGAGCATATGCAAGCTCATAAAAGATACTAAAAGTAATAGAACCACAAGTATCGACTCGAAAAAATCTGCTGCTAAAACAAAGATCATCCCTTCCTTGTTTCATAATATATGCTTCACCGAGAAATGGATGAAATCTCAAAACTCAACACAATGCCCATAGAAATAGGGGAGAAAGTCCTTGAAGAGAAAACCTGAACTTCTGTAATTCCCAAAATGTTCATGCTTTTGGATGGTCCTTTCATATGCAAAGCACTAATTAGAAAGTTCTGAACTTGAAAAGAGCGAAGTACAATTGGAATGTCGTCTTCATCATTATACGGATCACCAGCAGATTGCCCCAACAACTCAAATAATAACCCTCCAGCAACTCTGACCGGGACCTGAACAAAATGAAAGCACATCAAAATACTGAATCCCTCTTTTAGATCCTTGTCCTCAAGTTCTGATATTTCATTTAAAAAAAATATTAATCGGGGTGGGGCTGGAATTTAGGCCTAAAAGCAAACCACCTAAGGCCCCAATTCATAGAAGGCCCAACTTGTGATCCGTTATTAAATCAAATTAACAGGAAAGGAATTAGGTTAAATAACTCCATCGTCTATGACTCATCTCCTAAACTCCTAGAAACCGTCTCTGTTCTGACTTCTTTTCTTGACTATTCTCTTAATCACTCAACTATTTTTTTTTTAAATATATAAAGGCCGCATTACATTTTTTGTGCCCAAGGCCCCCAAAACTGTATTCAAGGCCCTGAAATTAATGAACATTTCATCAAACCTAAACTGGAAAATGAGCTTAGGGAACTTTGTACCTCGTAAAGCAGGTGTTTCATTTTTTCACTAATCAGCCGACTCTCGTCTCTTAAAGCAATGCTAATTGCTGGATGCAACCATTCGGCATTCCTAAGCCATGACTCGACAGAAGGATGAGCAGCAGCAACATGACACCACCATATGGGCCCTGCAGGACGTTCCCAGTATGGAATAGCTACGTCGGCAACAGTTAGGTCATTTTCCTCACCCCTAAAATCAAACTGCTGATCAGACCATCTAGCATCAACCTGCACCATCTGAACAAGTTCTGAAATTCTAACCCAACCAATAGGAACCCAACAGCTTCCAGAGAGTCTGTCCACAGCATCCACTGGTGCATTATCCTGATTTCCCGACACTATTGGAGTGGTAGATTCATGTCCTCCATGAGTGAACATTTCTGTTTTGGCATATCTTTTATCCGTCTCAGTGTGCGAAAAACTTTTGGAATAAGATCTTGTCCTGCCCGTTCTGCTTCGTCCATGAACAAATTCAAAAGCACAAATAAGCCCATCAGTCCATAACTCATTCCTCTGTATAGGTTCATTATAGCCATGCCCCCTATAGCTCTCAGGCTTCTTTGACCTACCAGGCTCAGATGAGTGGTCCTCACCCATGCTCACAGTTACTGAATAAACTACGCCTAGAAAAATCAGCACAAGTTACAAATTTGGTGCTATACGCATTAAGTAGAGTTTTTGCACAAACTATAAGCAAATCAGCATTTCGCACTCAATAGACCAGCACTACGGCAAGCTATTCCCACAAATTATACGCCAATCAAGCTGATTCATTTATAGATTACTCGTTAATTGCGGGAAGCAATAATGTTGAGGCAATGGAAAGGAACCATGACAGTTGTAGAAAAAGCAAAAGATGAACTGCGGATAGAGAACCCGGATTCTTTTTCACTTCCTGAAGTTTCTGTCTCCTAATTCAATATGAAAAGCAGAGGTTGACTGATATATCAGAGAACAGTAATATGCTTGCTTTGCTAGAAGAAAAAAGCGATCAACTTAGCACTGTTTTCAGGGATGAAAGCTGGGATTCGACTTGCTAGTTACTCTTCACACCATATACTCTCAATCTTGCTTTTAACGGATTTACTTTGAAACTACTGGTCGTTTCAAAAGGTGGAATCTCCGGTCTCGTGTGTGGCCCAACACCCCGGACCGGATAGAAGGGTAGGGAAGTAAGTCGACGTGATAGGCCCAATGATATGCATGCAGCAATGATGATAGGCCTTTTTTATACATGTGCGTACTAGAGTTCCAGTATAGCACGCAGGAGTTTAACCTCCACATAGCCGCGAGTCATTGTTCTAAATTTCCAATCATTGAACCAACTGAGCTACCCTACTTTGAAACTTTATAGCAAGAGATGAACAAATTACTTGTGTATACTGTATCGTGTATTTGTTTCGAAACAATACAATTTTGTATAATAAAATACAATTATACTGTATAAAATATTACGGAGTACTAAATATACATTTTATACACCGGTGATATGAATATGTAAATGAAAGTGTTTTAAATGTTCCATAATTTCTTTTGATCATAAATGTTCCATAATTTAAAAAATGACATATAATGTGTGTTTTAAAAACAATGAGTCATTTATGTAATTCTCACCTTCTTCAACAATTTAGGATGTAATTTTTTGAGCGAGGGAATTTAAATTCATTTGGTATGAAAAGTAATAACTACAAAAGTAAAAATGACGCCGACTATTACAATTACGCCAAGTCAAAACAAATGGCAAGTCTAGGAGTTATGCAACAAGTTTACATAAATTTAATTGCAGTAAAAACAAAAACACAATATAAAATATGAAGCGAATGCTAAAACTGTTCTCAAATAGCAATTTTGATACAAAAAATTAAGATATAAACATAAATCTTTAAATTTAGTAAATTAATAAAGTCATACAGGACAAAGGAGGACACTTTCAAAATTAATTAGAATATAAGTTGAAGCTCTCATTTTTAGAATAACTAATACAGACCGATAAAATCGATGAATTCATAAATAATAATTACTTTGACTATAGTAGAGGATAATTGATATTGATGTGACCATGATTTTGATGAACTATCGTGATACTCTAATCTTGATATAAGTTGAATTCAAGAATAATATAGACATATAGTAGTAAACTAGTACTCCCTCCGTCCCCTTGTTATTGTCTCATTTTCTATTCACTTGGTCAACACAAATCACTCTTAATCTCTTACTTCATTTATCATATTTTTATCAAATTTGATTCTGGTTTTTACGACTTTGTAAAACTTTTAATGTAGTTTCTGAATATGCAATTTTTTGTTTCTAAAAATAATTCTAGTGCGGACAGGGATCTGTTTGCTTTATCATCAGTCAAGCATCGTAAACCACAATGGGACAATAACAGGGGGACATAGGTAGTAACATCTAAGCTCCTAAATATTACGGAGTATATATAATCCTAATAGATTGTGACGATAAGATTTAAGAAATAGAAATTGCTCTAAATAAGAGCAAAAACGTTTTGAAATTCCAAAATAGAAGTATCATGTTTTTTATTCCCTGAATAGGAGTAATCTGCTAAGTTTGGAAAAAATGTCATGGTCTAAAGCCTAGTAACGCCAAATTTGGCGGAAATGTACTCATATTCAAGGAATAAAAAACATGATACTCCTATTTTGGAATTTCAAAACTTCTTTACTCCTATTTAGAGAATTCTCTCTTTAAGAAACTAACTTATAAAACTTGATGACGATTAAATAATTAATGAACAAATAAGGTATAATGATTTCTTAAACATTATAAATAAATACTATAGAAATTGCCCAATATAGGAGTAAATATAAACATAATTGCACAAATAGTAGTAAAACTTAAAACTTCCTTCAATAGGAGTAAACATTAATTGTGTACCCTTATTAAAAAATATGACTTATTCAAAAAAAAAAATTAAAAAAAATAAAAAACTCAAAAAAATAAAATAAAACTCACCGCCGCCTCAGCACCACCACCTCCAGTCACCAGGGGAAAAAATGCCAAGTTCATTACGAATGCCATATTTGTGGCAGAAAACAATGAAAATGTTGGCATTCGCAAAGAGAAATATGCCATGTTTTTGGCATTTTCAGAAAAAAAAAAGCAATTTTTAGGGAAAATGGTTTTTTTTTCACCGCCCGGAGGTGGTGGTGCAGGAAGGTAGTACAAGCGGTGGGAAAGACATCCATATTTTTTTAATTTTTTAATGGAGTTTTACTATTTTTTATTATTATTTTTTTAAAATAAAAAAATTTAAAAAATATTTTTTTAAAATTTTTTATTTTATTAATATTTTTAAAATTTTTTAATTATTTTTCTACGATTTTTTGATTTTTTTTGAATTTATTATGAATTAAACATTTAATTAAAAGTTATTGGGGCTTGGGTAGGGGTATACTTGTCCAAACACCAAAGTTACTCCTATTCAAAACATGGTACTCCGATTTTTGCATTTTTCCTATATTTTGCTCCTATTTGGAGAATTCTCTCCAAATACTACCTCTGTCCCAAAATGATGATCCGGTATTTCTTTTTTGGGATGTCCCAAAATGATGGTCCATTGGTCATGTTTCCCTTTTTGGAAAGAAAGATGTAGTCCATATTATTACACTTTATTATACTCAAATCTCAACCACAATTTTTACCTTTTCAACCACTTGGGAAGTTAGACGGTTAACTTCAATTGTGCCACTCCATTACTCAATTGTCCCAAGCCCACACAGTAGCAGGCCAGGCCGGGTCACGGGCCGGGTGGCCCGAACCGAATCCAAGCCTACATTTTATCCTCAAAATTCATGATTTTTTTCAAATTTTGAAAAAAATAAATCTTAAACGATTATAGTATAAGTGAGTTATATGCTTAAATGAAATACATGCAAATAAACTAACACACAAGAGAGATAAGTCCTTGGACTTCTCACCCTTGAGAAAAAAGGCGATTCATCTAAATATCCTGAAATCTGAAACTGTAATTTCTGTTGTACAATGGTATAGGTGACCTCTGAGTGTTGACTTTGGAGAATTTCTTCACTCAAAAGTGCACTTCAGAAGTCACAACTCACAAAGTCACAAGAGGTTCTGGACTTGGGTAGGCCTGGTAAAGTTACATGAGTTACAGAGCAACATGGTTGTCAGCATCCAACAGCAAGTAACATACATACCTCATGAGTTGCAACTTGCAACCACCCAAGACTCGCCACTTCGCCAGTACAAACCATTTTAGCTCCGTGTTTGAAAAATCAAACCGGGAATTACTTGTCAATCCAAATTTGACATTGACAAATTTCATATAACAGATCAATATGGCAATATCTATAGATATAAGTTAAAGTGGGATGGGGTGGCATTACACTGGGTGAGGGGGGAAGTTGAAAAACTCAAGCACAAAGATTCCTACTAAAGCCAAATGTGTCTCTAATAGCTACATTAACTGATTATGATATGAAGAGAAAAAGTAAATAACAAAAAGTACAGGGTAGCAGCCATCTGAGCTTTGGCACGCCTGGGAACATAAATTATTGGCATAGCCAAACTTGCTCGAAAGGCAGCTTTCATTATCATTACAAGACCCTGAAAAATCTGAGAGGCACTAGAAGGGAGGAGAGGGAAATTAAAAGATTAGTAGCTGTTTTGCCACAGCTGTTGCTGGGAGGATGGCTTCGGCTGGACTTGAGCTCCTGCCAAAGAACCGTCTCTAGGGTTCTGCTGCTGCTGGTGAAGATGATCCAACGAGATTCCAGCTTGAGAATGGTAGAAGTTTGGGTGGTATCCCAACGCGTGATTCTGAGATGACTGCTGTGGAACGTGACGGAACCCACTGGCTTGCTGATTGTGCCCCTGAAGGGTGTAGTATGGATTGGCTGGAGGTGCAGACATTGTTCTTGAACCATGTCCATGGAGCCACATGCCTGCATTGTCACCCTGGACAAAAAGCATAGTGTAAAGAAGTGTGGTTGGAATGACTGAAGTAGATGAATAATAGTCTGAATTATATATAGAAGTATAATTACAGAGTAATTAAAAGTCTTGTTTCTATTTTTTTGTCCCATCAAATTGTCAAAAAATGCGGTTAGTTTTTTCACAAAATAACCAAAACAAATTGCAAGTGAGAATTTTAAGAGGTTAGTATAATTACATGTGACACACTTAATGTAGCTCACGCCAAAGAATTTTAAAAATGAAATTAGAATGTACATCTTTTAAGAGGTTGTATCTTAAAATTTTAAAAGGTTGTACTACCCAAAAATTAAAAGTTGTAACTTGACCAACCAAGACTTTTTAGGACTGAAGGAGTATCAAAAAATATGTGTGAAGTGTCATATATTTGCATTTTAGACTTCCAGTTCTAGTCTAAAAAACGTACTTGCTACTGTTTTCAAACAATTAAATTAGTCAGGATTTGGTAGAAAATCTGGTCAATAAAAACAAGATATGAAACGACACTGGTTACCAATGTAAAAAATAAAGAAAATATCCATAAAGAAAAAAAAACATACCTGTTGAAGAGACAATAACTGATTGATGTCCTTGTACCGAGAACTTAGCCCATCATCAATACCCAGAGAGGTACTAGTAGCAGTAGAAGGATTCAACGGGAAGCTTCCATGAATCGTGCCACCGGTATTCCCGAAGGCACCACCATATCCAGAAGCAACACTGCCAGCAGAGGGAGGCAAACTACTAACCGACACACTATTCTTGTACTGTGGGAGCATCGCTGCCAGAGATTGTTGGTAAGTACTATTACCAGCAGCAAAGGATTGTTGTTGGAAACCAGGAGGCATGTACGCATAACTCTGTGGCAGAAAAGGGTAACTGATTATGTTTGCATAAGGTCCCACAGGAAGAGTTGTTTGAGAATATGGATGCAAAGCAAGGTGTTGATGAAGTGCGGGCCCCGTGGCAATGTTGGTCCCATTAAGGGTCTGTTGTGAGGGATGTGTTGACGGAAAAGCAATAGTTTTCAAAGCCTGCAGCAGCACACCACAATCCAGTTATAAAAAACAAAATGATGGCAAAACATAATTGAGCACCCAGCATTTCAGACTCTAAATCTTTTCCCTTCTACACAAGTTAACTAAGTGGAGAACAATGAGCATTTTGAAAGTGGGTGCATGGATTGTTAATACTGGGATTTTAATCAATGAATTTGACTATATTTTATTGCTAAACTCATAGAAAGGTGTATGGTGGACTATAACAATATTCACAAAGTGCCAAGGCAGTGAAGAACTCTAGATGCTGTAATAATATATTTTGTGGTGATTTCCTATTTTTATCGACCAAACTCAAGGCGATTTAATCAACTTTTTTACTAAATAGTCCATTTCTTGCCATATAGCCCTCAATTCTATCACAGGTGGCAATTTAGTCATTTGCTACAAGTCATCCTTTGATCCCCTCAACTGTTTTGGTAAATAAGTTACAGTTCAGTAAAGTTTTGACTTTTGAACACATAGGTAGAAGAAGACATGAGCAAATAATGAATAGAAACTAAGAAATAACATTATGTTAAAGGACCAAAAAAGGGCTAAAAAAAATTTTGAAGTGACTAAATTCACAGCAATAAGGTGTATCAAAAGACAAATAATTAATATTTGCACAAACAAAAAACTATACCTCTGGCATGGAATTCGTAGGGCCACCAACCCCAGAAACTGAGTTTCCATACTTTGGGGGCATTGCTTGTGAAGAAAATGGCAAGTAAGAATGTTCAGGCTCTCTACCAGCATGAGCATTTGCTGACAACAAATTGCTTGGTAAGGGAGCAGTGTATCCCTGCATTGAACCCACAATAAGAAACAAATGTGGTCAAGCAGTTATCATGCAAAGCATAATACAGAACGTCAGAACCTGGTCTCATAGTTAGGTAGATTGGTTAAAGACAAGGAATGTCGTATATTTCCTCAGGATCCCATGAAAAAACTTAAATATGTTTCCCACATACAAGTATGGACTATCTTATTTTAGGTCCCTGTAAGACTATTTGTTAATCTTTTTTTATTTCTGACCCTGTAATTTACGTTTCCCTTTCATCAACATCCACTATGATAATGTGGCTGACAACACTTAAGTATAGCCTTTCCTCATCAACTTTTTGTAACTACTAACTAATCAACTACTCCCTCCGTCCCCCTAATATTGGTACGGAAGAGAGTGGTGTGGTTTTTAAGAAAAGTAGAATTATGTGGTTGGTAATGAGTTGATAAAGTGGAAATAAAGTAAGAATGAATTAGAGCCACACAAATGTTACCAAATATGGTATGAGACAATAATAAAGGGACATCCAAATATGGAAAAATGGGACAATTATAGGGGGACGGAGGAAGTACTAATTAGGGAGTTATGGCCAAGTAAAACCCATCATTCTAATTTCAGTTTATATCTTTCTAGCTCTTCGGAAATAAAATATAAGTTAAAATGATGTGAAAAGGCCAAATTGGAATTATGTGATTGATATACGTCAAAGTCTTTAGACGCAGTTGACAAAGAGGGACTCAGATAAAAATGTTTAAAATGTAATACTTGCAGGGATGAAAACCATATTTCAGCCAACAAAAAGCACTTCTATTACTAATGCTCACCGTGGAATTTGTATAGGTATCAAGATTTTGTATATGGGAACTTGTTTGAGATTGACTAAATGCCACATTAGATGGTTGAGAATTCTCATAAGTATAACCAGCAGGAGTATTTGATTGAAAGCTGTACTGACTATCATGTGCTGCTACTTCAGAATGTTCCACTTTCAGTGTATCCGGTTGTGAATCAGAAGGTGACTCATAATTCCCAGAAACAGCTTCAGTCCTAGGGAATAGAATATCATCTGGTGCATTCCTCAGATCTTCATCACCATAGTATTCAGAACTTCTGCAATAAATTTAACATCACAAATTATTTGATACCTTTTGTTGATTAACAAACTAAGGGGGGTTTTGGAAGTCAGACTGTGGAAAATGCTAGAGAACGGGGAAAATGATGAGGAAGTTAATTACTTATATTTTATTTTATTTTCAATAGTTCAAAAAAAAGTGAAAAATGATTAACCTAAAAAAATTCCTATACATATTTATATTTCTTAGAGTTTACATAAATAGTTCTTGGCATTTCCCGAGTTCCGAACAGACACTAAACTCATAGAGAAACCCCCCTCAAAACACCATTAATTGAAGAAAAAAAGTGAAAGTACCCGTTGGTCAAATGCCCAACTGGCGGAGCATCTGAATCTATAGATGTGTCTTCCACATGTGTCTCTGCATTAGGAGCAGATGTTAAATCCCCAGGAATTGTAGCACTAATTGCAGGTCCAAAGCTGCCAAAGTTAAGGTGCAAGCAGTCTGCAGCATGAACTTGTAGGTGCTGTGGAATGACTACAGAAGGTCCGTCCCTTTCAGGTGACACACCTTGCTCCTCCTCGTCCTCGTCCTCTACCTCCTCCTCTATCCCCTCCTCCATAGTGAGTTGATGCATGTTGGCAGTAGCTAATGATACTGAGGTATCAGCATCCTCAACTGTAACGAAAAAGGTTGGGGTGATAAAGCACAATCACAAAGTGCTTACTTTCAAATACTATTATCTCAGAAGATGAAACTGAAGTAGAGTACTTAGCATGCACACTTTCATGAATATGAGTAACCTTTTTACTGCCACAAATGCAACTAAAGTGATCACCTCACTGGCCAAAATGAATAAGATAACAAGTTTCTAAGGCTTCAACTGTTAGTCTGTTACCAATAGAATGACTTTGTTTCGGAAAATGGTTTGCTTAAAACATATCTCATGAAAATATTTCCCTATAAATAAGTTGTTTTATCATCTACATAATATGATGTTAGAGCCATCATGAAAATGACTTCCCGTTTTATCAAAAATATAAGGACACACTTGGATCACAGAAATTGCTAGAGAAAGGGGAGAACTGCTGAGTGAAGTTATTTATTATGGTTGACTTTACCATTGAAAATGTAAAGGAAAATGAAATATAATCAGTTCCCCCCATAATTTTAGATTTTTTTAGTGTTTATATAGTATAAATAAATCAATAAAATGAGTATGAAATATGAACATCATTTTCATTTCATCATTTTCATTTACCCCAGTGCCGCAAAGGCTCCCACCTACGGTGGGGTAAGGGGGGGTCGGATGTACGCAGTCTTACCCCTATACTAAAGCACAGAGAGACTGTTTCCGGATGACCCATAGTGAAAATCGCGTCCAAAATTGCATGGACTGACTGTTGCTTCATTACAAAGAAGCGCAGACAGTTTAGTGAGCCATTTTGCTTTATTCCATCATAATCTCAAGCCAAAAAATAATGAATCTTTGGCTCCATTGCAAATGATGGAAAAGTATGAAATATGAACAAATATAAAAAATTAGAACTATTGAGTTTAAACTATATTTTCCCACAATTTTCCTCTGTTCCCATTTTCGTCCATATTTTCTGAGTTCCAAATAGAACCTAAAAAAACTTAGCACACATAAACTCACTTTCATTCCCATCAACGCCATGATAAAGTGGAGGCTGGTATCTACCATGATCACTGTCTACACCTCCAGATGTATCCTCCAGCAAATTCCTATTCTGAAGAAACCCGGGCACCACAGGACTGTCACCATTAATGCCACTTTCTACTGCTTCTGGAACCTCATCTAAATGTGAATGCTGTTGGTTACTTCTATTCAAGTCTGTATTAGAGGAATCCGGATGCAGCTGTGAAGTGAGAGGATCTGAGATAGAAGAACTTCTAGCAGCTGCTGATGGCTGCTCAATTAGAGGCCAGTCATCATGTTGAGCTCCAGATGAAGGCCTTGGAGCAAATTTGTGACTGGCACTGACCGGTTGCCATGATTCACTACTTGGAACATGTGGAGCCTTATTTTGCGGCCTACCCATCTTAACAATATCAGCCATTGACATTTGCCCTGGGACACTTACCCAAGCAGACTGGTTTCCAGATGAATGTTGTGGAGCTGCTGGAACATCATCAGCTGCCATATCAACTGGCTTTTTGGTCTCAGTATCAACAGCATCACTGTAACCCATAAATAGAAGCATTAAGAAGAATAAAAAATAGAACAAGCTGCAAAAGATGAAAGCATTAATACTGTAATAGGATGTTCAATAGGCATAGAGGAGCCTTCTACTGTATCTTTGAATAACCCATATAAAAACTATCATGGATAATAATCAATTTAGTTGTTTTACCAATTAATTTAAAAAAAACAGAAGGATAAAAATATCACACTTATGAAAGGCATGTTGGAACTCTTTATATTAGCGCCCTATGGAATATTAGTTGCAGTTCCAAAAAAGGTATTACATACAACTCTGAACCAACCTAATGTGACATAAGACAGAAAGTGCGAGCTGCAAATTGCTAACTCGCTCATTCTAAAATACATTATGTTTCAACATATGCACGCAGACACATCTACATGCATGCATATATGTTTGTGTAATTGTACATACGACCACATTAGAATGGCATGAACTAACACTTCAGTAGTAGTCTGTAAGGCACTTCGTAATTATCAAACGGTATGAAAACGGTGTCAACCATGCTTCAAAAACAGAATGTCTATACATTAACAGATATGATAGGTAAAGAAATCAATTCTAATTTCTAACAGATTTTCCAATGACTATTAATAAAAATCTCACTCTATATAAATTGAGGTGGGTTAACTACTATGTACAGACCCGATGCACAGCGAAAACTGCTAAACTTAGTGATTAATATTGAACTTCAACAATTAATGACATTAATGACATATGATAAACAAAATCTTTAAGCCAACACAAAAACATTTCCTACCGAAATACACATCATACAATAATGTATAACTTACTTGATAGAAGGCAGACGCCTACTTGAAACACCCCCAGCAATTTTAGATGATTTAATTGTAGTGAATCCGTTCTCCTTGTAGGCAGAGGTAGATTTTTCATGTAATGTTGAGTCTGGAGAAAGAGTTAGGTTTCAATAAAAATGTTTTGTAACCTGATGAAGAGCTCAGAGTGCCACAAGGTAAATCAAAAGAAGAATTCTGAAGTACACAAATACCTGAACCCGCACGCCCGGAAAAGCGATCTGCACTTCCTTTACCCCCACGGCCATAATTACTGGCACCACGTGGCCTAGATTCAGTGAAATCCTTATTCTAGAAAAGGGAAAAAAGAGAACTGATAAGAAGTTAATGAAATAGTGCATCTGAACATTTATGGTTGCAATACAAGCACACACCTCTTTTCTTTTATCTCGTTTGCTCTTCACCTCATGAAAAGGATCTGAATAATCAGCATCCTTCAATTAGAAATGACAATAAAATATGTTCTGAAGTCACATAGGTTAACCTATTAACGATGATGCATAGCCTACTGCGAAACAGTAATATTGAGAAAGAAGCATCACAGCAAACATGTAACAACTAGCAAGCAGTCTCACAATTTAGTGATGTCCTTGTAAAAACATTTGACCATGATTGAAATTTTAAAATTCATCAAATGGGATGAAGAGCAGGTCATGCAATAATAATGCACCCATGGAGTACATTAGTTTGTCATATAAAAAAACTCAAATGGCCATACACACTGCAACTAGCACCTGGATTCCAAAAGATCAAATATGCCTCAAACACTAACCAAACACTAAGAGCAGTGTCAATAAATTTGAACAAGCATCAGCTCAGGTCAAAAGATTGCAAAGGGTGAAAAATAATCAAATACTAAGCATTCCTCAAATAATTGTGTGACAGGTCTGAACCCTTATCTAGATTGATAAGTTTCTTCACCAAAAGAACTGCCTTTACTCAAAATAGTTTTTGGCTAAAGAGCCTAGAAGCGATTTTCCTTGCACAACAAAACCCCAAAATTTAAAGAGAGCATGACACTCTCTGAAGAATATCCATGTAACCAAACAATTACTTCAATCTGTGTCTCTATATCAAACTGGGGGAGGAAGAAGGCATGCACCAAAACACATACAGTGCGTGCAGAACAGAACTAATAACAAAAACCTTCAATATGCAGTTATTCTTGTTGCAATTGAAAAACAAAGACAGCCGCTTTTAGGGCTTTTCGTAAATGAGAGACCTTGAGAGAGAAGCCGGTTGACGGCTTCGTTAGGGTCCATATTACACTCTTTAAGAGCGGCGTAGATCTCAGACTCTGGATAGTTCTTCACTATCTCCTTCAAACTATCCACCATCTTTCGCGATCCTGAAGGAATCGTTGCCACTCCGCCGGCGCCGCCATTCTTACTGCCCCCTCTGCTACCCATCCTAACTTTCGCTCAATGAAACAGAGATAAGCAAAAGTATAATATGATAGGAGTATATATATATATATATATATATCAATATGTGTGGATAATAAATACAGAGTATATATTAGGGTGTATACCAGTATATATGTATATCTTCCCTTAGATCTGTCGCAGTCTCGCGGATGCTTCGCTATACGCATAAGCAGACACGAAGTGAGAGGTTTAGTGCATCCAGGTTTCACATATTATAACGAGAGTAGAAGACTATGAAATTGATTTTTACTCCTTTCCCTTAAAAAAATACACCATTCTACTTCCTCCGTCCTAAATTGTTTTGCAAAGTCATCATTTTTTTGTTAACCAATAAAAAAAGTCAATGCTCCCTATCGATAATTACTTCCATTTTTAATAATTAAAATTTATATATTCAGAAACTATATAAAAATCTTTTCAAAGTTGTAAACTCCAAATTAGAATATTATTAAAAATTGACATCCTACTTAAGCAAATAAAATGAAACTGTTTGACCAAGAAAAGTCAAATTTGCAAATCAATTTGGAACGGAGGTAGTAATATATTTTTCAACAATATTTTTAAACATATTTTAATAAATACTCTGTAAATTTTATTTGAGTAATGTGTTTAGTCATGTTTTTATAACATTTGATCATTTTTATAAATAAATTTTACTTGAGTGATATAATTGATAAAACCTCTTTTATTTTTTTTTTATTTTTTTTGAAAAAAAGCGGTTTAAATTGATATCACAACAATCAGAAAGGGAATAAGAAGATAAAAAGACCACTTCCACCTGCCGACTCTCGAAATAGACTCTGTGTCAATCACCCTGCGAAAAATAATATGACTCGATGATCCTGTAATGGGTCTAAATGAACCTAACGCGGGGACCCTTCATCGTTCAATGAAACCTCTTTTATTAATACCTTGAAAACATATTGTAAAATCATTAATAAATTTCTTGATTTATATTTTAAAGTATGAATTATTGTAACATTTACTGAATAAATATACATGCCGAAAAGCATAATGATCAAATTTTGTTTTTACAATTAAATAAGAGCGATAATAGAAACACATAAGTTCCGATAAATGTGTTCATTGGGTGAAATTCCAAATTAATAAAACAAGATGTGTCAAAGTGTAAAAAGAATGTGATATTTTATTTAACCATCAAAATTCTTGATGTAAAACTTACAATATTGTGATATAAGTGTATAATTGGTATTTTTACCCGTTTATTGCATGAGATGGATGTTTTTGCATGAGATGGATGTTTGCTGATTGCTCTCTTAATTTTTGGTTTAACTTCATGCTCAGGAGTGAAGCCCGTCATATAAAATGAGTTACTTTTCCACTTTATCAATCAACTTCCGTGAAGCATAATGTTAAAAGTTTAAGTAATTAATTCCAAAAGAGGAGGCCATATTTATTTTTATCAAATGAATTAATCATCTCACATATATTCAATAGTAATAAAGGATTTCATAAGTATTGAAGTTTAGATAGTTTGACATGATAAAAACGTCACTATAAGTTCTTTACAAATTATTTTAGACTTTTCTATTAATATTAAAAGATAAAATGTGTAATCTATTAAATAAAATGATTTATTCAATAAACAAAATCTTTTAATTAATTGTTATATTCTTCTCCATCAATAGTAATATTATTGTTCTGTTTTTATTCATTTAATCCCGAAATCTTCTTCAAGCGAAATGACTTATTTGGTTCATGTATTTCTTTGTTTTCCAAATAAATAGTAATTACACAATCTCGTTTTTTAAATGATGACAAATATTATTGTACACATTCACAAAATAATGAAGCTAACACTCATAGCATGCCAAGCAAGCCATATCAGATATGTACTAAGAATAATGTGTCAATTCATGCATCACAATACATGAGAGGAAGGCAAAGTATTGCACAAACACCACAAACATTTAATCACAATTCTTATACCTCGTAACCTTATATTTCCTATAAAAGGTTGTTAGTACCCAAGTCTGATAAGATTTTGATGATGCCACTATACTGAACATGTGTACATTGTGTCTCATTTTATTCTAGTATTAACGTGACAAAACAAATGTAAAATTTTTGGGTCTATGAAACATTACCGGAAAAATAAAAATGGAATAAGGCAAAATTTCTTTGCCTTAATAGGATGCTAAAATCCTACCGGCAAATGCTATTTAAGACTAAAAAATTATTCGTATGTTACGAAGCTCGAAAAATCAAATAGATGATTGACCGGGATTTAATGCTAGATACGTACAGGCCCCGGAACACTGAAGACGCAAATAAAAGAAATACTTCAGCAATCAATTGAAGACAAAAACAGACGGAAGTTAATGCTACAACAAGTACAAGGACCTACAGCATGGGCGCACAAGTCTGAAGTCTAAAAAGGCATCAACAGTGGCTAGGCGGGCAAAACAAGCAGAACCCATACGCTCCGAAGTAGAAAATAAACAACAAGTTGTTTATCTTCTGCGAATAAAATTCAACGCACAAGATTGATCTATCCTAACCAACGGATAAGATCAATTGACCGGAGAGCCTATAAATATAGGCAGAAACGAAAGTTTCTAACCAAGCATTTAAGCATCCAAAGAGAGAATTTCTATCCAGAGCATTTACGAAAGATCTAGCAAAAGAGAAAGTGCTATTCTAAAACTTTACTCTCTGCTTGGACTTATGCTTCACTAAACTTCCAGTTTATAAAATCTTCATTGCCATACTATAGAAGTTTAGTTCCTAGTTGGAGGTTAGAACTTTCTTGAAACAAATCACATATTGTTGTAAACACTTTGGAGAACAGTTGTTCGGATCCTACAGTGTAAGTAGATAGATAGAGTACCTTTTGATCCCCACTGGGTCATTAGAGAAAAGTCTAAAGGACTGAGTAACTTTGAGTGGTGCTATACTCACTGTGAAAAACCTTCAATCTAGGCCTAAGTGTTGTAAAGGCTAGATTGGCACTAAGTGTATTGGGCTTAATACTTTAGTGAAATCCATCTGAAAGAGGGTGGGACTGAACGTAGGAGGATTACACCACCTCTGAACCAGGATATACTATGTGTTGATTTACATTCAGTAAACACAGCATACACTTAGCACTTCTCACAAAAAGATTGAAGTTTGCGAGCAGAATCTTAAGCAGTTGTCTTAGCTGACCCAACTGCTTATCCTACTGCTTAATCACTTGCTTTCTTTGAGATCATTTTCATACCCGAGACGTATCTCACCATCTCTAAAAGGTCTGCTCTATCATCTCCCAGTAATTCACTTTCTAAGTATAGCAGGTGCCTCAGCAGTTTCCTGAGACCACCCAACTGCTGAGCCCTCTGCTCACATACAAGTCACTTCCTGTGACCATCTCAGTTTCATCAGCCTGCCATAAATATCATTGTCAAAAAGTACGTTCAATTCCTGAAAGCCAGATCAAAATCTGAGCAGTTGCCTCAGCAGTTCCCTGCTTCCTAGCTAACTGCCAAGCCAACTGCCAAGCCAACTGCTATTCATCTGAGTCCAATCTTCTCCAGATCAGAAAGTGATTAAAACATTCATTATATAAAGGGTAAAGACTTCCGTTGTGCATCTATTAATCTCTCAAAAGATTATAGATCAACTCTTCTAGAGGGAAATATTTGTAAAGGTCGAAAAGATTTAAAAGTCTATTCACCCCCCCCCCCCCCTCTAGACTTTTACCCTATCCGGGACCATCAAGTGGTATCAGAGCAGGTGTTCCTAGAGTCAGTTTCTGACTAGTTTGAACAAAAGACCCAAAGTCACTTCCCTCTCCCAAACACTTTCTAAACGATGGACAGTCAACTAGCCAAAAACCTCATATTCAACCTAAACAAGTTTGATGATTGGAGAATCAGGATGAAGGCACATCTCAGTGCCTTACATGATGAAATGCTGGAAGTAATCACTGCCGGACCTATCAGGATAATGAAGGTCAGCACATCCAGAGCTGATGACCAGGAGGATGTGTACATTCTCAAGCCCAAACTGGAATGGACAACCGAGGACATGAAGAGAAACAACATTGATAACATTGCCAAGGACATTCTTTTCAAATCTGTTGATGAATCCATATTTCCCAGAATCAGGAAATGTGAAACAGCAAAGGACGTTTGGGATGAGCTCACAAAAATTGGAGCTGGTGATGAACAGGAGAAGGACAACAAACTTACCATGGCCCTCAAAAAATTTGAGGACTTCAAGATGCTGCAAAATGAGTCCATCCAAAAGATGGAAACTAGGTTCCTAAAAATCACAGCAGAGGTCTCAGACCTAGGGAAAGAACTACCTCAAAAGGAGATTTCCCTTAAAGTCTTCAGAGGCCTGCCCTCTAAATGGGACATGAAGGTAACTGCTATGAGAGATAGCAGAGATCTAAGAATCCTATCAACTGATAAGCTCTTCAGTGATCTCAAAGCCTATGAATTTGAGATGAAGGAAATTAAAGAAGAAAAGGAAGATGAATCCAAAACACTAGCTCTAGTGTCTGAGCCTGGCCCTTCAAGATCCAGTGAGAAATCCCTCAACAACCTCCTTACCGACGATCAGTTTGCCATGTCTGTAAGGAAGTTTAAAAGGTTCATGAAAAGGGAGGGAACTGCTCCAAAAAGACCATACAATCTGCCACCCAGGAAACAAGGGAGACCTCAAACCAGCGAGGAAACTGTTCTGTGCTACAACTGTAGACAACCAGGACATTACAAGAATGAGTGTCCTCTGCCCTTAGCCCAGAAATTTCAAGGGCAGCAGGGGACTAGTTACAAAGCTGGATACAAGAAGGACTTCAAAGGCAAACGACAAGCCTTTGTTAGCGAAAAGAAAAAGGAGGAAACCCAATCTGAAGATGAAAGCAGCTCAAGTGATGAAAGCTCTTCATCTGAAAGCTCAGAGGAAGCACTTCTATGCCTGGGATCCTGGCAGGTGGGTGAAAATGACAGCAGTTGTCTCACTACAAAGAGCAGCAGGTGGATCAGTGAATCTTCCGCCAGTTTAAGTAATGCAAGCAGCTCCCATAAATGCTTAATGGCCAAGGACGACTACAACGATGTCGAGGTAACATCTTGCTCCTCCTATAGCTCTAATGATTCTGGACCAAACAACATAACACTGGAATCCTTATTACAAGACTTCCAAAAAGTCTAGAATCACCATGTTCTCTTAAATGGTGAAAATGATAGACTGAAACAAGACATTACGGCAATTC